GTCAGTGAACTGACTTTGTGCTAGACCCGCTGCCTTTCAGGTGTACATTTAATCGAAGGCGTTGATTGAGGACCCGAGTCTTTCTCCTGTCAGGTGTGGGCGCCCTGCCAGTATCCTAGTCCAAACACCATCCTCTTCTGAGGTTAGGAAGTGGTCGATGGCCCTCTTCCCGTAAAACCTAACCATGGGATACAACAGGTCTACGGGTTGTAAGCCCACAGCTCGATTGACGTAGAGCACAAGCGCCACGCATTGTCTATGACGGTGGGAGGGTACTCCGGGTGTTCAATGGTTTGCTACTGCCCGCCTCAAGCCAGGCAGCCCCTGGTCAAATTGGTGCAAACCCTCCAAAATTCACCTGCGTCTGGCCGTGGTCGCAGGTGCGTATCCTACTACGGTCGCAAAACATATATGAATCGTTCCAGAACCTCAAAGGCTGCTTGTGACGGCCGTCAAGCAGATCCAAATCTGTCTCTGTAATCACATTCTTGAGCTGGATCTGCACCCCACTGCCTTGTGGGTCAGGCTATTGAGCCAAAGGCTCTGAGAGGAGACCCTCGTGCAAACCTCCAAATCACCCACTGCCTTGTGGGTCAGGCTATTGAGCCAAAGGCTCTGAGAGGAGACCCTCGTGCAAACCTCCAAATCACCCACTGCCTTGTGGGTCAGGCTATTGAGCCAAAGGCTCCGGGTGGAGTCCCTCAAGAAAACCTCCGAAGCACATCCGCCACATCGCGTGCGATTGCCCACCAATGCAAAGCACTCAGCATCGGGTGCGGGAACGTGCGCAAAATACTGGACTGGAATTCGAGTGAGTGCCCTGAGCTGCGCACCGCACTGGTCGCGATGGAACTGGCGCGCTACCACATCGATATTGCGGCGCTCACTGAAACCCGGCTCGCTGTGTAAGATAATTTGCATGAAGCAGGTGCTGACTACACATTCTACTGAGTGGGCAACGCTGCCTCGGCACCACGTGAACATGGGTCGAATTTACAATATCCGATCGCCTAAATGGCCAGCTCTTGGGTGAACCAACAGGCATCAGCGCGCGACTGATGACTGTTCACCTACAACTCGGAAGAAGTACGTTTGCCACCCTTACAAGCACGATCATGTGTTATCCTAATGACACGCGTGATCAATTCTACACCCAACTGTCCTCCGTGATACGGTCTTTGCCGAGGAGCGACCGACTATTTCTGCTGGGTGATTTCAACGTGCGCGTTTGGCGTGATGCATCGGTGTGGACAGATGTTACCGGTTCGCATGGCATTGGTTCAGCAAATGCGAACGGTGACAGGCTGCTCTCACTGTGTGCCACACACGGTCTGAGGATCGCGAACACTCGGTTTACACTGTGTGCGAGTGATATAGCAACTTGTACACATCCACGGAGTGGTCACACTCATCTGCTGGACTATGTCATCGTACGTCAGCGTGGTATGCGTGAGGTGCGCATGACACGTGTACAGCGTGGAGCTGAGTGTGGCACTGATCACAAGTTGGTGCTGACCAAACTGCACAAATCTATGTATTGCACTTCTGCCGTGAGTGGGTGTAAATGTACCATTCCCTCCCTCGGTACTGTGGAGAAACGTATTGAGCTGTAGAAGGCGATGGCTGCACGCTTGTGTGATGTGGACTGCATAGCCACAGTGGGCGACCTGTGACACCACCTTTATCACTTCGGTAATAAAGAATTACCCCTCCTCCTTTAGCACGCCTTTTTCGTATGAGCGACATGCCGCACAGCGAGACTTCAACGTTTGTCATTCCACCGTGCAACCATGTCTCTGTGATACCGATGATATCGCATGGCTTCGAAATTTGGTGATCTTTCAGTTCTGTCAGCTTATTGGAAAGGTCTTGATCACTGGTAAAAGGCGAGAGAGTTGCCTGGTCTCTAGGATCCCACAGGAAACCAAAGGAGTCAAGTGTGATAGAATACGGACTGATATGACGTCAGCCGTTATTAGTTGTTTTTGCTGTGGTGATGATGACACATTGTCCGCAAACTGGTTTGGCCAAGGTACGTCTCATTATTTGTCAGGACATACTGCAGAATTGCGTGACCGAGCGGCAAAGTGATGCTTTTGCGTAATCGCTGGTAGGTCTACTTTTTCAGGTAGTCTCATGTCTGGTCTTCGCAAGGCTTCTGTGGGTTTTAACCGAAGTTCAGATGGAAGGCTTTTCCGATGTCGCTGCCAACGTTCTAACACTTCCGTCACTGCCTGCGCTGACTAAACCAGGAATTTTAGAATTATTGTTCCGCTTCCTCTATAATTTGGTGAGAGAGGTAGCCTTTTTAGCGATCATGCCACAACGTTGTCTAAGGGAAGTGTTTCACGAATGGACCGCCACCGTCCCGAATCGTGATTACCGGCCTCATGACTATCGTGGGAAGGAAGTTCTGACACGCCATAAATGAGGATTATGCTTAAACAATTCGGCTTGCTTTATCCATCCGAATGTTTCTTTTCGATTGACGCGTGCTCCAATGGACCCCATGATAGATGCGTACCTTACAAGCCCGTGTTGTAGCGTACTTGCAGCGAGTAAAAGTTTTTTTTACATCAGTGGCGGATTCCACTGTTACTCTAGTAAATCTGGCTTCGCCATAGTGTGCAGAGTTTAGGTGACGAGCAACTCACTAGCTTTGTGGGTTTGGCTTCATCAAAATGCACTGTAAGTTTCACTATTCCTGGTCGTCAGACAACTTACCCCGCAATGTGATTGCTGTAGATTTGGGGACATTTATGAACACGGCAGTCAGGACGTTATTATTGGTGACCTTTTTTGTTGAGCTGCAAGGTCGGGTGATTGCTGCGCCTGGATTTATGCCAAGGGATGACGGTATACTGTTTGTCGCTCTATTCACGTTAGCGGTGTTTTCAACAGAGAAGACACTTAATGTAGCATACCGCGGGATTTTTGCAGCGATCTCTGCACATGTAACTAGAGCCTCGGGGAATTTGAACTCGACCAGAAACCCTTTGGTTGCAGATGCAGTAGACTCGGGTTCGGCTGTCCCATCCTTGCTACTGATACAAGTTTTCAAGACCGGCTGAATTTGATCGATCACACCTATCGGGTGGTACCTGATTTTTGTGGTCTTGAGTACCGTTTGCCTACCAGAGTTACGGTCTGTTTTTGCCCTGCCTTCCTCCAAAACTGAAGGTGATAACGGTAATACGGTTCTTGTGAATCGTAGTTCCAGCGAAGCAACTTTTGCATGAGTCCTTCTTTTAGAAGCCACTGTGTTGTACTGGCACATACTCACTTCCAGTGATATAATCTTAGCGTTCGTTTGTTGTTGAGCTTCAGATAGCCGGTCACAGTTTTGGACTAGGAGTAGTATGAGTTTGGTTAGTGGGATGGTCAAACAAGCAGTACAAAACCAGAGATCGCCTTGGGAGCTGTTTCGATCGTTCACGTGTTGTTGGGAGAGAGTTGCACATTTTAGATCGTGCCAATTGAAACAGTGTGAGCAAGGTAAACTAACTTTCACTAGTCGGTTACATTCTACAGACCCTTCAACTGGAGCCCTTTTTGGATTCGTATCTATTTGCTTTCCGGTATTGCATAGCGTTGCAACTTTACACAGCAACCAAGTTGACGTTGCGCACTTTTCCGACTGGCTGGTTGCGCACCCTAGTTGGACGGATTGATGTGTCCCCTTCGCTTCTTGGTCACGCATTGCCCTGTGGAGTGAGAGGGAAGGTAATAAAACAAACCTGTCCGGACTTGAACCGGACGAAACCCACGCTAGTTTCATTACACACGCCGGCCCAAACGCTGCACTGTTAGATGACTGTTGGTGTGAGCTGTGATCCTGTTTACTGGCCGGAGCGCTGCTCGCGACATGGCGACGCAGTTGACCCGACAGCAGGGTAGCTCAATCGCCGTCTACTAACAAAAGTGGTCAGCCGATGCGGTCCTCTAACTGACAAATTTCTTCCAAAACAAGTAAGACGATTTAAGTGGTGAGGCGATGGAATAATTCCTACGCTTGGCAATCCACTGGATAGAGCTGCTAATTCCGAGTCGGATGGGTGGAACTTGGACGATGTAATGAAATGCGTAGGGAAAGCTCCACTACAAGATAGATCACAGGATGCTTGCAAAAGATTTGCGTAGTTTCCTTAAAAACTGATAGATATGCTTCTAAGATTTCTCTGGTGAAGGAAAGAACACACAAAAAGGAATCGCACGTTATATGATAATCCACATTTCGTTAATATTACACGTAGTAAAGGTACAAATTGTTGGAGCTTCTGTTTTGTGTCCACCTCTAAGTCCATAAAAATGGTCATGCAACATAGATTCAGTGTTGTCTGTGAACTTGGAACGTTTCTGTACATTTATCGATCATCCTTGTAGTTTTATCATGACACGCCTATGTATGCGTGCCTCACATTGTCGAGATTATCTCATTTATTATTTATTTACTCCATATATCACTCGATCTACATATTTGCATTTTGATCATTAAACCACTTTCTATTGTTGATCGCATGTTCTCTCCCCTGTGTTTGCATTATTCCAGAAGACCTCACTATTAAATAGGTTGCTGATACCAGGCAATTATTCATTTATTCATGCCCCATTGTTATGTTTTTTCGTTCTCCGAACGTCATTTTCGGTTAATCTGGTTTAAGGTACCAGACATCACGACATTCGAAAGACTAGACGATCTTCATCTTAGTGATGAACGCTACACAACATTTTGATAAAGTGCAATGGCTTAACCATTGATACTTCACGTTCCACATTGGAACATTTTGCGTGTAGTTTTCTTTTGTATATCCATCCAGTGGGTCTTGTAAAGTTATGTTTTTTGTCTCATCAGACACTATTGAACTATTGAAGGCACAATTGCAATTCCGATTGATTGTCACTCCTTTTCCACTAGCGCCCACCCTATTTTCACCGGTGCTTTCTACCGTTCGATGTGAAATCATTCCAATGAACCAAGAGACATTTATGTGAGTGATGACTGGACATTAGTGTCATACATTAAACAGTTAAGCTATAGACGTTGTGAAAACCGCTTCTTTCGCCAAAAAAATTTGCTTCCGTCTTTTTGGTTCACACTTCCTCTGCGTCCTGCTCCTCACCGCTCTGTAGGTACAAAAGGGAACAGCATTACTCATACATTAAGCATACTGAGGACGTGGGTAAATTGAAACACAAAGTCGCTGCCTCACTTCAACGCCACGATAGCAATGCGCCCAAATGAGAATGATATACCTTCGTCAGTAGTTATCCTTTCCTCTTGTAATCTCAATCATTTGCATGGATTTAGATAGCATCACCGAAGTGTACAATGTTGATCGCAAAGTTCCTGGGAACTATGAAAATGCAACTACCGCCGTTGTACACGAGTGAAACGACGCTAATTTTGACGGCTTCATGTACAAACCATATCAGCATACTTGTCACGGAACTAATTGAACTTGTGTGCCCCCCCCCCCCGAGTCATTTTACACAAATCCGTGTATTTGCGTTGGAACCGGTTCTGCAGGCATTTTGTGCATCCATTTGGCTCCCAGCTATGCTTACCAAACCTTTCATGTTGTGAATAGCTAATTTGCTTGTTTCAAGTGGTATTCAGTAGATCTTTTACTAGTTATACCTGAATCGATACCACCAGTTAGTCAACTACCTTTTGCAACGGAGAGGTTAGAAAAGGATTCCGAGCCACTTGCTTCCTTCTATCTCTCTCGAGCAGAAATTCACTGGTGTCTAAGTTCCTGAGGCTTCTGTATGGGGGATGGTTTCCAAAACGAGCAGTGTTCGAATTAAGGAGATGGGCCACCGCTCCATGATGGCGTTAGGGCAACTTCTGAGCTATAACGCACTGAGGTTCAAACATGCCACAATCTCAAACGAGGTTGATACAATCGTATTTCTGTTCAAAAAGAGTTAATCTTGAAATGCTAACAAACTCCGGCAGTAAGCTCGAGGAGCACGAATTGCCATAATCCTTTTAGTAAGTCCTTAAATTGACTGAGGTACGATTTATTTCTTCACCCCAATTCAAGCACTACCTGACGGTGTGATAGGAGGAAGCAACCGTAATCGTCGGGACTTAATCACGGAAAAAGCCAGGTAGCCACTCAGACCCGATTAGGGCAGAATCTCCCATTCGTCGCACTGGACAGTCTTCCTGCTGGTCGGCTCCGCTATTTGGTTTATAGTGTTTGACTTCATTCCATTAAGCACCTGGCACTTTTTACTGCAATGAAGACAAAGGCGACTGGCTTTATTTCACCATAGCAGCAATGTCGTTTGCAATTTCCAGCACTGTGAGCGTCGTGTATGCTACCCGTTCAAATGATCCATCTTTACAGAAGGAATCGTTCATCCATGCAGGATCGATCCATGCAAAATGGGTCTCCCCGATTTTGCACACCTGTTAATCTCAGGGTGTCCAGTTACCACGACTGGAGCACATTTGAGGTCCGCTTACAAAACGAAATAAATGTCTCTTAATATCCCGTTAAGGTTTCTATGTAGAATTAAAGGCCGTCTAGTTCCCAAGCCGCCAACGAATGATCCACCTCGCCACCGACTGCCTCACGCGCGAAGCAAAGTTGAGCACCTGCTGGACCAGATTAATTAACCTAATACACTCATAGTAAAATTAGCCGGTATCAGTCTATTGGGTTCGCATGCAATATGCATAAGTAGACTTACCGTTTTTCGCATTACATTTGCTGTTTCAAGACGGATGTCCCTTTTTGCCACTTCTGCCTGTTCCAACATAACCAAAATTTGGTCACTTTGTGCCAGCATCGTGGCAACACATTGCTGCAACACGCTGACACGCGCTTCCAATTCCGTGAAGTTATGTACGTCGACGTACTGTGCAAAATAAAAATATGATGTCCAGTCAGCGAACACCTACCAAAGCACTTACATGCTTCTGTTTCGTATATGATTGCAAATTTTTGACGAACACTTAGTAGTTCATTTCGGTGGTATAGCAGTTATTCCGTGCGAAAGGATTGTTTCATCTATCTTGCTTGTGATACCCAATATTTACATGGTTCCTCACATCGAATATGTCTTCCGGTTCTGATAACGTAGACTGAACTGTGACTTCGCTGCACTGGACACTCTGTCCATTTAGGTGACGCCACATCAAAGAGTTGCGCCACTAGTCATAATGGCAAGGATCCAATGTACTCTGTGTGTCTAGTGAATGCTACCGACGGCTACGCGGTGAGCGCTTAGTGGCACACCAGATACTAGGTAATTTCTACTTTTGTATCCAGCCACCTCAACTACAGAGCCAATCACTTGAGCTTAACAATGCATTAAATTCTTCCAGAGAGCCATCGAACCAAATTTCTCCTGACCTGCAGCCTAAGGGACACTCCCAAACGTAGTTGTCTCTGCTTCCACCTTTTCCATCTTCAAAAATCGGCGGAATATTACACTTAAGTTCCTATACTTCACAAATTGTGGCTCGCCAGTTTTTTTTGTGAGCTATCCTGATTTGACGTTGTAAACCACACAGAAGCATTGAGTGTCCTTATTTTTCTCTATGAGAAGCGTCAGCAACAAAACAAGTCCAATTTTCAATTCGGAACCGCTATGACAAGTATTGCTCATGGATCTTGGTGGTCCAGTGATCAAAACGTTAGCTGTTAAATATTTGGTCCTTAGTTCCCCTCCCAGCTCAGGCTATCTCTACCTGATGAGTCCAGACGAGATTCAGTGTTGGGAGGGCGCAACTCCCAGTACCCTCCAATGTGAAAACGATCTTAGTGATCGGAATGACCGAAGTCTGCTTGAAAGCGAACCGACGTCTCACTAGGGATTGCACTTGGCAATCAAACCAAAATGGCGAGTAATCCAAAACCTATCCTCGAATCCTGTACAACAATTTGCGTGCTGTGGTTTGTTTTCCTTCCACTGGAACATAAGACATTCATCTCCAAACTCGTGATATGTCCTTATCGTTCCGTTGGCTGCAACTAAGATTGGATTGGCTTATGGTCGGATGATTTCTTTCATTCATGGCCTCCCTCAGACCAGCATGTGCAGCCATTCATTTAGGGATGAAAGCAATGTCATTCTATTTATTTGACGAGATATACTATGCAATGGTTTTAGTTATGTATTAGGAAATGCGGTTATAAAAGTAGTACCAACTGTGACCACCTAGAGGACATTATCCGGTCGTTCCAGCGGTGTACAGTTTCTATTCCACAGAAGTGTAGTTTATGGTACTAACCTCAGGTTCGTCCTGCTGTGAGATATCATGTACCAGGTCTCCTTCCTTGACATCAGAGCCTTCATTCCCTTCTATTTCCACGATCGGCATTCTCATCTGCAATATGGACTTTGAGAAATCAAACTTAGTGCAAATGCTTAACATCCACTTTTGGCAACCACTGCAATGTTTCTATACTAACCCATCACTTACTTCGGTCGCTGTTTCGTCTTCCAACTTCGCTTGTTCTTCCAAATTGAGACTATTATCCCCATCCAAGTCGTATTTAATGAAGCTAGCTGTGATTTCTGCATCACGGTATCCGTGCCTATAAAAAAGTGAAGGCATACAGAAAAAAGGACCAAATCCACTTGAGCAATGCTCAGTGATTTCTTTTGCATTGTACTGGCGCAAGCTATAAGGGCAGTTAATAATGCAAGCTGCCGTGCTTCTGAACAGTTTGAAGAGGAGGTTATAAGTATATCGGCTCTATCCTGAGCCTGAGCTCTTGTTCCTTGCTTAAGCTCAGTTCCTTCGGTTCTACCACATGTTCGTCATTTGCTACTAGTGAGTGATGCATTGTTAAGCTTTCCACAGAAAAACTGGGAATCCGCCATTCAAGGTGACAAGGAGAAATTCTACCTTGCTAACGGCTCAATTCAACTAGTAGAGTAGTAGCAGCTTTGCTTGATCTACAAAGTTTCCCAGGATGACGCCATAGTTATGAGTACTTACAGCTCCTTGGATTCACTGGATGTACCTTACATTTCTTCGCATAACCGCGCAGCTCGCTCTGCCACATCTTGTGTTCAAACAACCATTCTTCGCAGCCATTGTGCTGATGTGAGCCACCGAGTTGACACAACTGTGGCTTGTCTAGAAGCAATGTTGACTGGAGGTGATCACCGGTACCATGAAACCAAGTGTAGCTCAAGCACGGTTTTCGTGGATGATTTTGTCCAATGGCAAGAGCTTGACATGACAATTAGATTGTGATAATTGGTATGTAAACCTAGCAAAGTCGTGTTGCTGTATCTATTAAGGCCATGAACATCAACAATTATGTCGCGTTCAATCGATCATTTATCCTTTACAATGGCATCTACCTGTATATCCCGCCAAAACTGATCATGTACCACGAATCTTTTGTTAGCCCGTACTAGCTGGACGAATCCGTCGATGCTGGAGAAACAATGGACGCCGCTTACCATGATTTCTCGAAGGATTCTTTTATACAAGCTTCAGAGCTACGGGATCGATGACCCTATCCTAGGCTGGATCCATTCATTCCCACTCCAACGACGCCTGTATTTGCGTGTTTCTAGCATTCTGTCCGACCCGAAAGAGGTTCATTGTGGCGTCCCACAAGGCTCGGTACTAGGACTACTGCTATTCCTCGTGTTTATAAACGACCTTTCGGAAATTTTGACGTCGAACTTGCTACTCTGGTTTAGAGGACCTCAACATCCGGAGGGCAGTCAAACTAGCAGACGACCATATAGCACTTCGGGGTGATCTCG